AGTATGTTACAAAACAGTAGTACAAAAGGACTTATTCATTTATACATTCAATAAGTGTTTACAGAGAGGCTGTCTCTGCTAAGTATCATTTCAGTACTAACAATAAAGTGGGGGAACAGACAGACAAGGTCATCACCAACTGCATAGTCTTGTGATCCCACTTTTGAACAGAAATGACTATCAAAGGGTCAGGGACTTGTGCAATCAGATATCAACATCTGATACCTCTAAGTAAATGGGATGATATATTTTTGAATGCACTTTTCCACTTTGAGTTCCCTGTATAAGTGAGCACTGCTTTTATCTTAAATAAGAAAATGTCTATACTCAAACAATAACAGTGCTATAAAAATCTAAGATTTAGGATTGTTGGAAGGTTTCTTTCTCTTTTAAAGAAAACCAAATCAGTTTTCAAGTCCATCCTGTTCAAAGTCATATCTGAAGAACTGGTACATTACCTTGAAATTGATAAAAGCAGGAATATTTGTGACCTGGGAATCTTACTGGTGTTTTAAACATATAGTTGTAATAGTAAGAAAACCTGTTCATTTACAAATGAACAGAAAGTAGCAGGTGAATAATTTTTCAATAATATGTGTGGTAGGAAGGGGTTAGTGTGCAGACTGCAAGCGTGGTATGAATCACATGGGCTTTGCTCCCTCCTGCTACTTAGCCTTCCACAATATGGTTCCCACATCCTACTTTCTGGTAGGCACCTAACAAGTATTGTTCTCCAGGAAACTAACTGAAAAAAAAGATTAGAAAATGGACACTAATTTAGTGAACGTGATTTGGTAATTAGCCTAAAGATATTGAGGAAGAGAACAGTGGCAAACATGATTGATTGAAGTGTCAAGTTTATCACAATTGTCACTTCTCAGTTACTAGTTTTGTTGTCTTGGAGTTTTATTTTAGGATTGGTATACCGGTGCATCATGAGGTAGCTTCATAACTCTTTATCTTGGTTAAATACTGTATTTTTACCTTTTAAAAAAACCTTAAATTTTAAAAGTTTTTTTAATGTTTCCAACTTATTTACAGTCATCAATTCCATGATGTATTGCTCATTATGTAAAATTTGGAAATAATCTAAACGCTTAAGAGCAAAGGGTTTTCAGAACCAAACACCCTTCATCTTTGTGCGGGGGCATGAGGAAGTCAAGTAAATGAATGAGGAGATTGACTGCCAAGGCAAAGATGGCACCACAGTTGTGAGAGGAAGATCTGGGAAGTATTTATTTTTAAGATGAGTAAATGCATAGTAAAAATGATCAATGAATGGGAAAATAAAACAATTATTTAAAAACCCATCATGTTAATTAAATGTGTAAGGAAATTTTTTTAAAAAACCTTTGGACTGAGTAGTCCTCTCTCTCTTTCCCCTCTCTGCCTTTCTCTTGTTTATTAAACTTTTTGAAGATGTTATTAGTGTCTGTTTTCTTCATTTGTCATCTCTTAGAGGGTAGACTTTTCCAGGAGTATCAGCCCCCCGCCCCTCCTTTCCCACCCACTGTCGTTTTTTCTCCTCACTTGATTCAGTATTCCTGGACTATTTAGCTGCATTACAGGATGAATATTAACCAGATGCAACTTCACGTTGATGGTTCAGAACAATGGACAGCGACACTCCCCATATAAGGAGTGGGGCGCCCTCATACGAGGGAGTGATTTTGAAAGTTTCCTCTATTACAGAACACACTTGCTGGAGTGGCTACACATGGACGGGAGCTGGTGGAAACATTACACTCAGTGCTGAGCTGTTTTTTTCTTCTTTCCTTCATGGAAGAGGGGGAAAGCACATTAACATCACCACGAAGAAAGACTGGATAGTAGTACTCAAATACATTAAATAAACTTTCACCTTAACAATAAAGATTGACTCAATAAGTCAGTTTATTTAACAGATCTTTTAAAGTAATCATTCTCGATCAACAACTGCACATGTGTGGGGGTTTTGTTTTTTTACTGTGCTGTTCATGGTGTCATTAAAAATACAGTTCTTAAAAGTCAGACCAAAAAAACAAGGACTGAGCTGAGATTCAGTCACTAACATATCGTTTTAGATGTAAAATCTAAAACACTGTTGGCCATTTTTGTTTGATGAGAAAAATGTAAAAGTCCTTTGGCAAGTTTACTCAACAACTAAAATGACCCTGTCACCCATCCTGACAGAAGCCTGAAAATTGAATGTTGTATCTTTTTGTAGCATTCTTTTAGTTACCCTGATAGAGTTCCTCAGGCAGGGAACAGACTATCATCACTCACATTTATATATTTTTATGTCCCATACTTCATGTCCTGTCTCTCTCGGTCTTCTCTACCACTCATGGTCTCTTTCTAAAATTACTCCCTAGAGTTGTTGAAGTGTGACTCACCTTGACCCAGATCATACAATGCCTCCCACTCTTGCTGCCTGACATGTATGTTCTCTGAAAGACGACCACTGTGAGCCACTTGAGGTGGCTCACCTAATTCCTGTTTGCACTTCTTAACACCTAAATGGGCACACACAACACAGAAAACCCACACTCAGCCTTTTTCTGGAATAGAAGAATGCATCTCTTTGCTTCTTGGCACTTATCTCTAAGTTCGGAACAGAGCGACCATGCACTCATTCTTCTCGCTGACCATTCCTCTTGGTGTTACCTCAACTGAGAAATGTTCACGTAACCAATGAGATGTGTTGCCTGAGATCAGCACTTGCCCAACTTTTTCCCTGAAGCACTCCTGCTAGTAAAAGAACGTGAAGTAATGTGGAATCGAGGAGCATCATTCAAAGTTGTAGATGACCAAAAAAAAAAAAATTATTGTAGCTCTTATGCTTTATCCTTAAAATATGTTTTTCATTCTATTCCATAATTCATTCACTCAGCAAGTATTAGATGACTACTGTATGCCAAATAATGTCACAGAAATACAGTAACAAATAAACACTTATTTTTAACTTAATATTTTTACACAAGTAGAAAAACAAAAATGCTTTCAAATCCAAGAACAAAACTGATTAAGAATGGGCCAGTTATTGCTTCAAGTACCACTGGTCATGCCGTTGTGCATCCTGTGAGCATGTTTGCGCCCATCTGAGAAGCAGCTTGGGTTAACTCCTAGATTACAAAGCCAACAGTAGAGTTAATACTTACTCTACATGAAAATATTGGCAGTGTCATTAAAACTAACTGAATTGTCTTCATTTACCATTGGGTACTGCCTTTAGATTCTGAAATGGCAAAGATAGAAATTCACTTCAATACCTGGAGGAAATGTGCAAAATTTGTCCTTAAAAATCAGGTGAAGGGGGCTGGGGTACCAATCCTGACACGTCCAAGTGAAGTCTGCATTGACTCCAGCACTACATCGCTCACCATTGCTTTTATTAACTTTGAGTGGCTTCTTTCAGGTTCTTATGTGTCTGCAGACGAACTTCAAAAAGGATCTCTCTTTACTAAAAAATGCAACATCTCACATAACACAAACTCACTGCATAGCATTGTTGAATATGACTGTTATTCCATTCTATTGGTCTGGAATCAAAGCTGACCAGAACATTCCCTGAATAGTATTGCATTCCCCAATGATAGTTTTATCTTCTATAATTTGCTTTCAGTGATAAGGTCTGACTCTAAAAGTAAATGTGGAATTGACACTGCTGTTTGTGGGTATGTGGCATATGTATTTTTGACTAATACATGTGACTGGAGGCAGCTATTTATAATAGCTTTATAAATGTATAACAGCACAAGGGGTTTCCCAATGGGGCTAAGAGTCAGTCCTCTAAAACTGGTGACCGGATCACTTGCATGAAGCCTGGCCCTCCTACCTGGAGCCACCAAGCCAATTGTCCCCAATTATTACAAAGGTCTTATGTTTGCATGGGTGTGAATGTGTTCCTGTCACAGACAATGTACAGCCCTAAGGATTCAGACCTCTTCATACTGGTCAGCTGGAAAAGAGGTGGAGGAAAGGCAACACACGCAGTGCTCACAGCCACATCGGCGGTTCCCCTTCAGGGCTGTCATCGGATCATCTGTTGGAACTGTGTGAGACTTTGCTGCTTTAAGACTCAGATTTGGGAGCAACCCCTTTGGGTCCCCTCCCGCTGTGGGAGTTTTTCTGTCCTCAATCAATCCTGCTTTCTCACTTAAAACAAAAAAGAAAAAAAAAGACTCAGATGTGGGCTCAGTGTTTATGAATCTCACCAGAGGCCCTAGGAATGCCCACCTTTAAAAAACCCCACAAATGACCCTGTTTCCAATACTGCTGTAAGGCTGCTCCAGTTGGGCATGTGTCCCCTCCAGAAGCCACGCTGAGATGCAATCCCAGGGTGGTGATGTCAGGAGCAGGAGCCTCATAGGAGGTATCTGGCTATGGTGCCAGAACCCTAATGAACACACTAAAATGTCTTCCCCTGTGGGGTGTGAGTTCCCTACTCCCACCAAAGCTGGCTGTACAGAGCCTGACACCCCCAATCCCTTTCTTGGTTCCTTCCTTGCAAGGTGACCGCTACATACACAACGCCCCTTCACCTTCCACCATGAGTTGAGAGGCCTGAGGCCCTCACCAGATGCAGACACTCAAGCTTGAATTTTCCAGCCTTACAGAATTATGGGCCAAATAAGCCTTTTTCTTTCTAAATTATTCAGCAACACAAAACAGACTAAGAAAGAATAAAGTCTGTTCTATTCCTGAACATATTATGGGCTTCTGGTTTGTTAAGACTTAAATTTACTGTCCCTGGTGGCAACAGTTCAGAAGGTTTAATTAATTCTATTCACCTCAGTCTTCTCCCACTTTATGTGACTGACACTTAGAGTACAAAAGTAGCCAATGTCTCCAGCACAGAAATTCCGTGATTCCAATTTCTTGCATAGTATATAAACTCACCATACATGTGCACAGTGGCAGGCTACCTTCAAGTCTTGGTGTTATAGGCAGGATCTCTCTCCAAGACTAAGTGATTTTAAATATGTAAACTTCTGCTCACTAATAAGAGGAACTGAACATTTTATATTTGAAATTTTAAGGTCAGTTTATTAAGTTCAATGATGAAAGCCATCAGAAGAATATTCTCCTGAAAATTATTTTTTTCCTAGAAAAAAGAAAGGAAATCGAAATCCTCCGAGTGCAGCCACAGATGCTGTGACATTCCGGCCTTCCTGCAGGTGGGGACAGTCCATCAGTCAGTTGAGTCACTCTCAGGGTCAGCGGGGTTGTAGTCTGGATAACCCTCATCATCCTCCAGCTCCAGGTCGTCCATTTCCTGGAACAAAGACTCGTCCACCTCCACATTGTTTCCAGCTGCAAAAGGCAAAAACGTTTCACTTCCAGTCTTGTATTCAGGAATAACAGAAGATATCACGCACTGGCAGTACCAAGAGAGACTTCAACATCTGAGTGATGAAATCCAAGACTACCCCTGCCACGCATATCAACAATGATCTAGATAGGCCATACAGACTCCAACATTAAGAGCAACTTCATGTTTCCAGTTCATAGTGTAAAAATCCAGTTTAAAAAAAGCTTATTAGAATCATTATTTATAATGTGGTGTGTTATAAGTTGAAGACAATAATGGTAAGTGTACTAGTTATCACTGACCATAGGACCTGTACCCAGAGTTTTCTCTTACAAATGTGGCAGATGAGCACATCATTAAAGCTCAACTATATCTGTTATTTAATTGAGAGATTTGACTTGACCTTCACGCTCACCCGGGTCCCCTTTGAACCAATAGTATGCCTTTGGTTACACTGTTTAAATCCAAATGTCCAAGGCCCTTTGGGAAACAATACCCAGGCTTCGCATCACTCTTCACTCTTCAGTGAGTCCAAAGTAGATAAAAGAAGGATATTAAAGCACTTTTAAATCAACACAAACATAATATAAACCCACTAAGAAGAAAAAGGACCAGGAATGAGGCACTTGTAGATAGAAGTACATGTGAAAGCAGAGAGAAAAGGCAAGACCGTGAACACTTCTAACTGGAAGATGAGATTTCTGAGAAAAATGCCTGGTAATGATGTGGAAGGTGGCCAGATGAGAGGGGCTGTGTCGGCTAACCCTTTCTCTAGGCAATGGAGACCATCAAGGAGCTTAAGGATGTGAATTTTATGATTGAATATGGGTTTTAGAAATACCAGTTCAGAGGCACTCACTACAGAATAGGTGATGGCACCAGAAGAGGCAGAGAGCCAGGAAAATAACTTAAGAGGCTGCTACAAATTCCAGCTGAAAATGAGAAAACACTAAAACAGAAAAGAAAACTGCTGAGAAGAGAGAGGAAGGATCAATGGTGGCTTCTGATAATGTCTAGAGCAGAAGAGACACTCGACCCATCAGAAAGGTAAAGAGTCAAGAGTGCGAGGAGACATTAAACTCCTAGAGCACAAGAGAGAAGGAGATGACACTGTTTGGAGCTAGAATTTCTCAGCAAAACGGGGTGAAATGAGAATCAAAGAAGATACCATTGGTAGGTTTCATTTTGACTTTTTTTTCTTGAGAATATAAAAATCTTGGAGCAGCTGCTGCAGGGAATGTATTACTACATATAAGTAAATGCTGAGTGTCAGGTCCAGTCTAGGTTAGCAAGCATTTAGCAGTGTGCCATGCAACACTGCCTCTTCACCATCTCCAGCAAGTAATCCCAGCAAGTGGACACACAGGTTAATGAAGAGCAGAGTACTGGGGCACCATCAACTGTGGCTGAGCAGGGAGCCCCCAGCTCAGGAAATATGTGAGCACCATCAACTCCAGGAGGAAGGGTACTGGTCAGTTCTCTTCTCTTCTGCACCCTCAGTGGCCAGGAAACTGCACTGAACATGAATAAGTGAATGGATGATGAAATGGACAGATAGAAGATCAAAAGACACAAAGTGACAGGAAACAACATTAGCACAAGGCTCTCAACATGCCACAGACAGAGAGAGCAGAAGGGAAGGCAGGGTTTTGGTTAGAGGGATACCAGGGGTAACACGTCCAAGGTTTCCACAAGCCCCATGGCAGCCCAGGGAATGCAATTTTCATATATTTGATTCCGAAATTTGAAGAAAGCAGGTCACCTGAGTCACAATAACCTGGTTTACTAGTTTTCAGAGGATAGTATAACTATTACTGCCTGTCTATTGCCATCTTTGATACTGCTTGAGTTATCAGAAAGTTTAAAAAATGCATTGCCATAGAATTACAATTCATTTCAAATGTACACATTGATCGCCCATTAGAATTTATTCCTCCAAATGAGTTTTTTAATAGCCTTGGGAAAAACTGCGAATTTTTGTGGTTTAACATTAAAGAGACACATTATATACACGTGGAACTCTAATATTATCTTACCATCCTCCAGAAACTGGATGTCAGATGTGTCAAGATTATGATCTGTTTCAAATAGCTGTTTCCCTAAAAGAAATAAGCATGTTTAATGAAATTGCCTAGTATTCCTTCACCTTCCCTGTAATACTCTAAAAAATGTGGCAACACAAGAAAACAAGTCTGAGAACCTGGTTTTCTGTGAATTTCAATAAATGTATGAACTCATTCAGTAGCCAAGAGGCATATGAAATGTACTTGCAATAAAATGGAACAAGTTAGCCAGGTTCGGTGGCTCAGCCTGTAATCCTGCACCTTGGGAGGCTGAGGTGAGTGAATTGCCTGAGCCCGCGGGTTTGAGACCCGCCTGGGCAACTTGGTGAGACCTCATCTCTACAATAAATCAAAAAATTAGCCGGGTGTGGTAGCGCATGCCTGTAGTTCCAGCTCCTTGGAAGGCTGAGGCGGAAGGATCGCCAGAGCCCAGCAGGTCAAGGCTGCGGTGGCCGGGAGCAGCCACTGCACTCCAGTCTGGTTGACAGAGTGAGACTCCAACTCAAAAAAAAGGAAACGTGAAAATCTCATCTACCTTCGAGTGCTAAAAAGCAAACGGGTTTGCCCGTATCACTTTTAAGACTTGTGACCCTGAATGTACCTTAGGATCAATTATAAATTTATATCAAAGATAAATCATAACAATTAATTCTAAATTATGCATGAGAAAGTATCATCGTGTAGTATGTTTTCTCTTTTTGTCTTAGATGCTTAAGTATACCATTTTCTTATAGAAATCTGTCCAAATGATCCTCTTGTGATGTAAGAAATCATATAGGAGGGTTTGGTGGGGACATGATGGGGAGAGGGGAAACATACCACTTAATTTATTTTTTCCTGCTTGTTCTTCTTCTTTCATTCGTTTCTTTTTAATTTCTAAGAGTTCTGCATCAAACTTGGCCTTCCAATTTAAAAAATTCTCAATTGTAACAGGAGTGCCATGGAATAATTGCTTAGAAAATAAAAAAGACATAGATCACCAGATTAATGAGATAGTAGTTTAACAAATAAAACCTAATGATAGCTTTGAAACAAATAAACACTATCATTTTAAGAAAAACAGAAAAATTAATGTTTGGAATTTTGAAGTGGTTCACCTGACTCCTGACTGCACTGGCTACTCTGGTTTTGGCAACTTTCTCTGGAAAAGTCCATTTTCAATTCTTATTACAAAAAACAAAGACAGGCCAGGCTTGGTGGCTCAGCCTGTAATCCCAGCACTTTGGGGAGGCCAAGGCGAGTGGATTGCCTGAACCGGCGGGTTCGAGACCAGCCCAAGCAACTTGGCGAGACCTCATCTCTACAATAAAATAAAAAGTAGCCAGGCGTGATAGCGCATGTCCATAGTTCTAGCTCCTCAGAAGGCTGAGGCGGAAAGATTGCTGGAGCCCAGAAGGTCGACGCTGGGGTGGCCACGAGCGTGTGTGCCACTGCATCCCAGCCTGGGCAAAGGAGTGAGACTTCAACTCAGAAAAACAAAAACAAACAAACAAAAAAAAGACAATTTTGTAATGTATTCACTGTCTTCACCACAGCCATTCATGGTTAAGAAGAGGGTGGCTGCTGTCAGTACTCACATGTTCTGAATACACATCAATTTATGACACCAAATCAAAATTGTATCACTTCATTTCAGAATTCGATGTTTTCTTTGCATTTAGTAACAATTTGAATCACTGTAGCTGGGTTTTATAATTCTAAGCTCTCTACCACTGGTGAGATCATTTCTATTTCTTGGACTTTGCGTACACTTGACTAACCTTTACTGATTCCTTATTTAGGCTATACCACCATCCAAACCAGGGACTTTCAAAATCTTACTATTATTAAAACTTTACAGAAATTGACAAAAAAAAAAACAAAAAACCTCAGCCAACCAAAAATAAATTTAAAGAATTTTTAAAAAACAAGGTTTTTAGACGTACCTTTTCAGCTTCTTCTGCTTCTTTTTCTCTTTGTTTCTTTTCCTCCTCTCTTCTAGTTTTTATCTGATCTACTATTTCATTTAATTTTTCTTGCACAGCTGTCACTAGAGTAAAGATCATTACCATACCAAGGTTTTCTTCAGCCTATGTAACAAAAAAAGCAATAAGAAACATAATTCTCAGAAAAACAAAAATCCATACATTTATAACATGATTACTAACTCAGTTATACCATACAGTCAGACACTTCAAGAAATAATCATTTAAGAAGGCAGTATACATAAATACTATCTACTTTAAAAGTCATGTAAATTTGCCATATCCAACCTGAAACAGATAATGTATTTCAGCCAATTCTGATTAATAATCATATAGGTAGAATTCAGCAAACCTTCTCCTATAGTAACTAGTAAAATTATTTCTCCAGCATGTTTTCATTATATTAATTCTTTGAGTATTTTAGGAACTCTGCCAATGAACTGAATTTGGAGGCCAGAGCGATTTTCCAATCTAATCTAATAGTAAAGAAAGTAGGTATTTTTGCAATTTGTTTATCTCCTTTTTTTCTTTAGATTAGAAATGATTGTTTCGAAACCAAATGTAAAAGCATCTCCAACTCATGAAAGGTGTAGAACTTGAAGTTGGTTATTTGAAGGAAGAATGATATAAAGCAAAGTATCTCATTTCTCCACAGAAACAAGATAGGGCTCCAATGAAGCAGACAAAATAAAAAAAAATTTTTTTTTTTTCCCCAAAACATACTTGGCAGATTGGCAAGTGTCTCTGACATGGCTGGCCCCAGCAGCGGAGGGGGTGCCACATCTCCCAAGCCCTCCATGGACCATGTTTCAAGCTAGCTCCTGTAAGCCAATTCTGGGGCTTCTCTGTGATGCCTCTATGCTAAACATCCTAAATCAATGACTAATCAAGCCTTTCTCCTGAAGGCCAGGCTCATATTAAAACCACCTACTGGGTAGTGACTTGAAGTCCCAGTCAACACTGAACCATCATCTTCTCTACAAAGCCTGTTTCTTGAGTTTCAATCTCCCCAAAACACACCACCACCCACCCCATATGAACATCCCCATGCTATCATAAACTCCATCACTGCCTCTTAGCCCTTCTTAAATGCCACTTAAATCCATCCATTGTTCTCTATAAACAGTTATTAACCTAGCTCTGAGTACCACCATTTTCAGCTTGGAAAACTGCAAGAAATTCCCAACTGATCTTCTTAAAACCTATGTGCTTCCCTCCCCTAACACCAACTTCCACATGCATTCAGAGAGGGAAAGGGAGAAGAGGGAGAAGAGGAAGAAGGAGAAGAGAGAGAGGGAGAGAGGAAAGGAGGGACAGGGGAGAAAAGGGGGGAGGAGAGAGGGGGAGGGGGAGAGAGGGAGGGGAGGGGGAGAGAGGAGAGAGGAGGGGAAGAGGGAGGGAGTGGAGAGAGAAGCGGGGAGTGGGAGAGTGAGGGAAGGAGCGGGGGAGGGGAGAGAGACAGAGAAGAGAACTAATCTAATTAATGAGCTGAAACATCATAAAACTCACCTAGTCAGTCTCGCTTAAAATCCCTCAAGAGTTTTCCGAACCAATCAGGACCAAGTTCATATTTTTAAACCAGTTCAAAAGACCTTTCAGAAGATGGAAGGTACCAACTTCGAATTCTCAGCTAATTTTGTATGACCAGAAGTTCAGGAGAAATCATCTCTCTCCCACCCAACGCTCTTTAACAAGCCTGTTCCTCCACACTGAAACGCCTCCTTCCTCAGCTCCTCACAGAACCTCCCGAGGACTCCAAGCCTCACACGGTCCTACACTTCGCTCATCACAGCATTTTCCACACGGGATGGGTCCCGGTTTCCCAGTCCACTTTCCTTGCCAGCGCGTAGAGTGAAGAGTCTATGCGATCAGGGATGGTGACTGTTCAGGTCACTTAACTTAATGCTCAGCACATTTCAGTTGCAAGTCCCAGTAGGGTGCCTTTATAAAAAAGTTAAGTTTTCCAATAGAAGAGTAAGAAAATAACCATTCACATGGAAACTGGAAAACTCAGAAGTCATGCTAGCTCCACTTCACTAGTAATTTTTTTTTTTTTTTTTTGAGTCGGAGTCTCACTCGGTCGCCCAGACTGGAGTGCAGTGGCCGCTCCCGGCCGCCGCAGCCTCGACCTGCTGGGCTCCGGCGATCCTTCCGCCTCAGCCTTCGGAGTAGCTGGAATTACAGGCATGCACTACCACGCTCGGCTGATTTTTTTTTTTATTTATTGCAGAGATGAGGTCTCGCTGCCCAGGCGGGTCAATTCACTCACCTCAGCCTCCCAAGGCACGGGATTACAGGCTGAACCACCAAGCCCGGCTACTTCACTAGTATTTAAAGAAATGCAAATTATAACTACAGACAGATACCACTTTCATCTTGTCATCATGTTTTAAAATTTCTAAATGAAAATAATGTCAGCAAATGTGAGATCACAGACACCTTGTGCCTTTGTTAAGATCATAAATTGGCACAACCATTATGATGGTCAATTGACAGCATGTATGAAATCCTGACGTATGCATTTAATCCAGCAATCCTTTAATACAGCAATCTTACTTCTAGGAAACGGCAGAACAGTATACTCATCAGTTATTCATTCTTTTAACTTATTCAACAAATATTCAAGTGTCTATTAAAAATAATGATTTGTATATGCAATCATTCTGTAGAAGACAGGATGTTATAAAACATGTATAAGATGGTCTAACCTAGGGTGGGAGAATGGGACCATGCATATAAGCCTAAGGAAAAAGTCTGGCACTCTATTACACCAAATGCCAACAGACAGCTGTACCTGGCTGCGAGATTAAAATCAATCTTTATTTTCTTCTTCATGACTTTTTGTGTTTTCTGAGTTTCTGTCAAATGAATTTACTATTTTGATAAATTAATGGACAATTTGAGTGTAAATAAAATATTAAACTCATGGAAAAATTCACTTAGATTGAATAATTTACAATAATGTGTGATTAACTGAATATAACATAACCATCCCAGCTTCTCTGCAATGTTCAAAAGGAAACATGTTAAGCCAAATGTTAAAATTAGCATAATTCCATGCTGGGTAAAAGAGTAAACAGGACCCAGGATAAGCACAACTGACTCTCTGATCTTCACTCCTCGATCTCTAGCAGCTCCAGAGAGTTCTACAACATCAGCACTTGGGGATCACTGGTCCTTAGAATGCACATGTCACCTCCAAGATGGAGAGTTTTCTGCCAATTCTTCTTAGAACAAAGGCAGGACTAATGTTCAGTTGGTAGAGTAGGAACTTCACTTGCCCTCCCTACTCTCTGCTCATGCGAACTCTTGACCCAAGCCAAGTGAACTCGAAATACCTGCCCAGCCCAGAACTTCCAAATATCCATTTTTTTCTTCCACACCCCACCCCCACGGAGGGGTCATAAGCCATCACTGTGGTCTGTAAGTTTGAGGAGAAAAGTTAATCACTTGTCCTCTTCCCAGCTTTCAGACAGCCAGCCTGGAACAGGCCAGAGGGAGCAGGAGTTTTTATGTTTTAAAGAGCTACGCACGGGACTAGACATGCTAAGAACCAAATCAAAACTGTTTTTGTAACTTAAAAGTACCTGTTGGACTTTTTACCATCTAAGAATGAGCAGAAAAGTCATGGGGCCAACTGATCAATATACTATATATGCCACTATAAAACATAAAACTGTTATTTCCTTACCTGTAATGCTAATAACTTTAAAATGTCTGAGACATCATTATCTTCTAGATTTTCCTGGGAGAATATTTCATAAAGAGGAGCTTCGTCTGGGTATTTTTCACTGTATGTAAACTTGAGGGTGGTCTGGACAGCTAAGACACAAGATAAAAGTGTGATGTGAACACCTTAATAGTATAGAGGTAGATATTTTTGCTGAATTGGTGAAAAGCAGCACAACAGATTTTCCTACAAAGCAAGCCGAGGTTACTAAAAAACCACATAGATAATCACTAACATAACAACACATGCCACAAAGAGATAAATGAAGTAAATCATATTTAATGATTATTTATAATAGTACCTTTAGAAATTGTACATCAGTGACTTTTGCCCACTTTTCTACTAGTTTGTTCATTAATGTGGAATTTTAGGAACACTTCTACATTGTTGGTGAAAGTGTAAACTAATAAAACCTCTGTAGAAAAGTTTGATGATTCCTATAAGATCTAAAAATCAACCTTCCATTTGACCCCCCAATTCCCCTACTGGGAATATACCCAGAGAAAAGCAAATGATTTTTCACCAGACGTCTCTAAATGTTATTTTTCATTTCAGTGTAATCTAAAAATTATATTTTGGATTATTCATCAACGAGCAATGCCACACCATTTTGGAACCTATGATGACATCATATGAAGCCCAAACTTCTTATAAAGGCATGTTTTAAACAGTTTGAAGAGCAGTCAGTACAGTATTTATTTTGTGCTTTAATACATTATAGAAATGTTCTTAGGTACCTATCTGCAAAAGTATACTGGTTATCAATTTAATAGTAACTGTTTTCAACACCCTTTTAATTCAGATTTCACTAACGTTTGAATGCCAACCTCTTTTTCCATTGTACAAGACAGATTTAGAATTACCAAGTGACATCATTAAAACTGGCTGTTAAAAACAGCTTCTGGCAGAATTTTGGTTCTCCGGGGGGAGGGGAATGGGACAGGATTATGGGGTTAACACCAACTAACGTAACATTTTAATCAAATTATTACATTAACTGATGGGGACTAAAGACTGAAATAAACAACAGATACCACCCCCCAAATATCTGCCAAATTTGTTAATACATTTCATCTTAATTTATTGGCTTCATAGCTACTTTATTTCAAGCAAGAGAGAAATACATACAGCTGGGTGTATATCCAGCCCCGTTTATAACAGCAAATGCTCAATAAACAATCTAAATGCCCAAAGACAGTAAGTAAAGCTATAGAAAAAGAAATCAAAGAACAGCCATTGAACAGCCATTTACATGCTGACACGTAAAGTCTTGCTCTGAAAAAATGTCTCCTACCTCTTCTACCGCTGCTGCATTGTTAATGTTTGTTTCACTTTTAAAAACCAAGCTTATTGTGCCAGACTACATCACCAATTTCCTCTCAACTTCTCTAGGAGTCATGTTTACACAGTAAATATTATCTAGAAACAAACAAGATTCACACTGGATTTTAATACCACCTTAGCACTCTACTCCTGCAATGCCCAGCACAATAGCTGCAGAATGGATGAATTTTTGAGAAAGCTCAGAAAAACTGCAGTTATTTTTTTATCAGACTTACTTTCATCATTTTCTCCAGCCTCAGATGTCACAGTAATGGTAAAGCTGGGTGGATTTTCTGATAATACTGCAAGAAAATATACATAGAAGTTACTAACATGTGCTTCCAAATGCAAGTGCTTTTCCTTATTAGCAAATTATCACTTCCCAGTCCTGGAAACTAGCCTATATTTCCATTTCCACAAATATAGACTAAATAGAACACTGAAATGATAAAATGTCCATCACCTTTCTATTCAAATAGAGGGTTGTCTTTAAATCTGAAAAATAGATATATACTTATAGTAGATACCCCTCCAACTTTTCCAAATCAACTGAAATAATTAAGTAGTTTATTTTTTTCAAAATCTCCATGTGTATATAGAAAATTACATTCTTAAAGAATCCCAAATGGAGTGGCAAAGAGTTTGATGTTTGTCAACAGAAGTCACTCATTGATATTCATGTTTCACTGACTTTTATACTCACATATTTTGAGGTATAACTCAGAATCTCCATGACAGACAAACAGTAAACACTAATTTGTTAGAGTTTGTGTCTTCTTGCTCTCTCTTTCTCCCATGTTTTTCTGGAACTGAACTTTTATTCTTTCACAAATACTTACTGAGTCTCTACCATTTTTCATGGAATTATTAAATGAATTAGCTATGAATCTAAACATCAAACCGCTTGCAATTTATTATGTGAGACAAGACATGTAAGTCAATATTTACATAAATGAGAAAGCTTTATACATCAAACCGCCTGAAATCTATCTAATATTATATCTCTTTGTATTATCTATTCCCCCACATGAACCCTGTAACAACTCTGAGAGGTTCTAGGTCAGTGCCTGGCAGTATCTAGCTCAATAGATATTGGCTCTATGGAAGAACTAAACTAATGGGATGAAAGGAGAAAAACAATGACAAAGGACACTTGTACTCAGAACATCCGAAGAGTAAACAAGAGACCTCCAGGCCCAGAATGGCTGCTGAGCTCAAGAGAAAAGCACGTGTCTCACCCTGCCTGGGCAGCAGGGCCCTGTCAGGTGGGCAAGAGCCCTGTAAATGCTTTCAGAAAGGAAAGAGCGACGATTACCCAAGAAATTGTACTACCGGAAACTTGCTGAAGCCACCATTAATATATATTATCAATAATATTTTCTAATACATATTATCAATAATATTTTCAAGACAGATGTCTTCATTTTAAAGTTCAGGATACTTTAATCCATGATGAACACCTATGATTACTAGAAAAGTGTTTGCCAGTTGACTAAAACAATCAGTAGACTCTTATTTTAATGGGTCTCAGGCAGCCCATGCTAAAAAAGTCACTGAGAGGTCATTACAAAAAAGCTTTCATCATATGCTTGACCTTGACTGTTTTTTTTTTAACAAAGCTATGTGAAATACAGTTGCTGTATTTCATTCCTATTTCCTTTCATGATCCACTTCAACATTTACATGTTATGAGACATAAACACTGAAACTATAGAAACAAAAGATCAACCCAATGACACTCCAGCTTACTACCATTTTCTAGGATTCCATGAGGCTATAGGTCGACTATTCTAAACCCAATAACAACAGGTAACAGTTACTGAGCATCACTTGTGCTTTGCTATACATTTGCATGAAAATCCTTACGTGATGTGTACTATTACCATATTCTGCCAAATTTATGATGCCATCTAATACAAGTTACACCTTACCTTATGTATAACTAAGATAGAAAAACAAGCTGCCAATTAAACTATGACATGCAATCAACTGTAAGAAAGGTTCATACTTCAGATATGTTGAATGCAAAAAAAAGTCTTAGAAACAATTAAACATAGTATCACTCCAATTTTACAGATGTGGAAATTGAGACACAGAACTTTTAAATAACTTGCCCAAGTCATTGAGCTTCTAACTGACCAAACTGAATAAACTATGTAGAGCTTCATAAAAGAAAAACACAGCAGGGCTCAGTGGCTCAGCCTGTAATCCCACGCCTTGGGAGGCTGCAGTGAGTGGACTGCCTGAGCCCATGGGTTCGAGACCCACCTGGGCAACTTGGTGAGACCTCATCTCTACAATAAATCAAAAATTAGCTGGATGTGGTAGCACGTGTCTGTAGTTCCAGCTACTTGGAAGGCTGAGGCGAAAGGATCACCGGAGCCCAGCAGGTCGAGGCTGCGGTGGCCGGGAGCAGCCACTGCACTCCAGTCTGGGCGATAGAGTGAGACTCCAACTCAAAAAAAAGAAAAACACATTTCCAATGAGAAATTCCAGGGAAGTCCCTTGAATGAGCACACATAGGCCGGCAGAGCTGAGAAGGGGAATGTGGCTGAGGACGCTCAAGGCAGTAAGGGCCTAACAGCAGGAAAGCGAAAGGAGTAGGCAGAGAACAAATGACTTTGCTGAACCCACATGTGGGTGAAAAAAACAAGCTGAAAATACCATGGGAAGTTTAGTATGGACAGAAGTTTGTAAGAAATAATATGGACAGAACTGCTCTCTAAACATAGAGAGTCACATCTCACAACAGCACATAAAATGGAAGGAGGGAAACAAGATGCAGCGAGGCAGGATAAAACTAGGTAACTATTGAATCGGGTACAGGTAGTGAGGTTCTGAATGAGGGCTGCAGTGATGGAGATGGCAGGAAACTGTGGTGATAACATTGAGTCTGAAGGTTGAGATGTGGTGGCACTAACACAAATCAGGAATGCAAAAAGACAAACACACAAAAAAAGACATGATATGAGGCCAGGTGCGGTAGCTCAAGCCTGCAATCCCAGCACTTTGGGAGGCCAAGGAGAGGGGATTGCCTGAGCCCACGGGTTTGAGAACAGCCTGGGCAATTTGGAAAGACTTCATCTCTACAATAAATAAAAAAATTAGACGGGTGTGGTAACGTGTGCCTATAGTTCGGCTACTTGGAAGACTGAGGTGGCAGGATTGCCTGAGCCCAGCAGGTCGACATTAGGGTGGCTGTGAGCATTCCACTGCACTCCAGCCTGGGCAATGGAGTAAGACTCCAACTAAAAAAAAAAAAGACGTGATATGTTTAAGGACACAGGCATTCTCAGTTGGAAGTGTCAAGCAGGCAATCAGAAATGGGCACATGCAGATGTAGAGAGCTGGGCTTTAACTCAGTTTGGGATTATCTAAGAGAGGTAAAGCTAAAGCCATTAGATGTGAGATCATCAGAAAAGTAAGAGAAATAAAAGCCACAAGCTATGATGAAATTCTGAACATGGAGAACAAAGAGGAAGTGAAATTGCCAGAGATTAAAGTAGCCACAAGAGGTAATGACAAACTCGAGACAGCCGTGTTATGAAAGTTAAGGGAAGTAATTTCAAGAATAGGAAAAGGATGATTCTCCCTGCCCACCACTGCCTATTGACACATGTCCTGGCAAGCAGGTTTTATGGCATCATTACCTGCCAATAGCAGCATTCCTCTGTCTATCCAGTATGTTGGAATCAGTTTTGAGAAAGGGGTGGAGTCACTGCCAACACACTAGAAAATGTACATAACTTGAAGCCTATTTAGCTATGCAGCTCCCACCTATCAAAAATCTGAGTCTGACATGGCAGTGTTGACAATATGCACTGTCTGGTCCATGTAGCATGTGAGGAAAAGAGCAATCAATACTGCACTGTAAGACTCCAGCTGAGCACCCAACGAGGCCTCTGGGATCTGGCCTTGCTGACTCACCAGGTCTCGGTTTCCATGACTTCTCACCTTATGTGCTAGCAATGCCAGACCACTTGTCCTCCGAACACATTCTGATCTCTCAGAATCCTGCTCCTGCAAATGCTAGGGTGTCCTGTGCCAGGACATACTTCCCCAGCCTCATTTGCCTGCTAACTCCTCACCCCCAGTAGACTGCCCCCTCTCACTAACTGTCCGTAGTAGACTGAGCTTCTAAACATGCAAACACATGTTTGGTAAACAAGGAAATCCAAAGGATGTGGTCACTGCCTGACCTGGGAGCCACACAGAACAGGGGGGCAAGATGGACCAGAAAGCAGTTGAAGAACCATCAATCTGTTAGGAATCATGAGACATGGTCAGTAAAAACATGGGAACAAAAGAATTACAGGGTGGCAAACATTACTGACAGAGGAGGAATTTCAGAGGCGAAAATGTTAGAGATGGCATTTTCGAGTGCCCATACAGCTGAAAGATATGAAAACCAAAACTGTTGGTTAATAAGACAAGGATGATGAAGTCATATTATTAGACAAATCAACAACTAAGATAGTATTTTTAATAAGGAGTATCTTATGTTTGCTTAACAGTTATGAACTATTTATATTTACATTAATTTCCATAAACAGATTTGGAAACTGAAGCTTGGAGAGGTTATATGATTTGTCCGAGCTGCCACGATACAGAAAAAATTGTGAACCAGTTACAAAAAGAAAAAGGATACTGGGAAATAGTGCTCACAGCGCCCATCTCCACTGTCCACTGTTCAAGCTATCCTGTTTTTAACTGAATGCATGGACCACCCAGTAAAAACTACATTTTTTAGATTCACTTCCAGCTAGGCCTTGCCAAATGACAAAGTTCCAGCTAACAAGATGGAAGTAGCTATGCTCTGTGACAGTTTCCAAAAAATTTCCTTAAGAAAGAGCTGTTGGCCGGGCTTGGTGGCTCAGCCTGTAATCCCAGCACTTTGGGAGGCCAAGGTGAGTGGATTGCCTGAGCCCACAGGTTCGAGACTTGTCTGGGCAACTTGGTGAGACCTCATCTCTACAATAAATAAAAAATTAGCCGGGCATCGTAGTGCATGCCTATAGGTCCAGCTACTTGGAAGGCTGAGGCAGAAGGATTGCCAGAGCCCAGCAGGTCGAGGCTGCAGTGGCTGGGAGCAGCCACTGCACTCCAGTCTGGGTGACAGAGTGAAACTCCAACTCAAAAAAAAAAAAAAGAAAAGAAAGAACTGTCTTTTACTTCTTTTTTTCTTCATTCCTTTACTTACCCTACTGCCTAGAAAGGGAATGCTGCCATCTTGACCGTAAGGATGAGCCACATTTTAGGGACTGAGCATCAGTTAGAGGTGGGGTCCCTAGGGAATTTTGGGACCAGAGCTGCCACAGCTCTCTTTCAGTTGCAGGAACAATACGTGTTTACCTTTTTAAAAAGCCATGTTATTTTGGGTTTTCTGACACAGTTGAACCTAATCCTAAAAAATAAAAAAAAACCAGAACAGAATACTATTTTCAAAGTTGCTATTTCAAAATTGGGCAGTAACTAAAACATGAATGGTAAAGTTACTTCACTGGACTTGCAACATGGATGACTCCTGAGTTCTGATGAAGGGTGAATCCCATTTCACACATGACAATGAGCTGGGAGTAAGCAGAGGAAAGGTCAGCTTTCACTAAGGAGGTCAGACTTCCACTACTGAGTGGATCAAACACTTCTGAGAAGAGCACGGTCACTGGGCACACTGGGAGGAACTAGGGGAAGGCAGGGAGATGTTAGAAGGCAGGGAGATGTTAGAAGCCACTGGGGCAGATGATGGTGAAATGGACTGAATTCAGGATTTGGTCAAAAACCAGATCACAGAGGTAGTGGCTAAAAGGTAAACTAAAGAGACACACAAATGACCTTAAGTTCTCATTAAAAAAAAAAAAGAAAGCCCATATTAAAATAAGTCCCTCTGGTTGTTAGGGAATGTCTGACCTTTCAAAAGTATGTCTTAGAAAAACTGCTTTTACGAGATGACTTCTGCCCTGTTTCTAAGACACAATTTTAACTGGTTAAATGCTAGTGGCTCAAATGCAGGATTACTACTCTTCATCGTAAGGCAAGAAGATCTAAGGAAGCTTGGCTTTTGGTAAGTCTGATGCCAACGAGTGTATACCCACAAAGCTCCCCATAGCCAGAGATTCTGCCACGGAAACGCCTCGACAGCACCTTGTCAAGTGAAGCACTACAGAAGTAGAATGGTATCAGGAAGTCCATTTATATTTTGGGAGACTCATCGTTAGGAGGGTTGGATCAATATGCAATCAAGCTACAGGATGGGCAAAAAGAAGGAGCTGTATTATGATTTGTCAACATTCACAACAAATGCCACAATGAACCAAAAGTCTCTGCCAACAGTCAAGCAATTCGAAGGCTGGAAAGGTCCATGGACTGTGCCTCTTCAGCATCTGCATGGGTTACATGCATTTACAAATGATTCTTTGTCAAGCACTCGGTAATCCGCACAAAAAAAGCAGACAGTAGCTACTTCCTTCATTAACAGACAGAGCATTCACCAAATCCAATAATTAAACGGAATTCAAATGAAGTTAGAAAACTACCAATGAGTGTTCCTTGGCAAACTGACACAAGAAAGCTCTCTACCTTAAACCCAGCATGAGAAGAGAAGGCTATACAGCAGCAAACCCTGAAAATCCTCAAGACTTCAAAAGATCAAACATGCAGATATTTCATTTGAAACTCCTCTGCCTTCTCCCTAAGAAGTTTCATAAAGAACGTGATCAAGAGTAAGGCAAAGCTCCCTAAGAGCTACAAATCAAGACATCTCATTTTAATGCATTTGTTGCAAAACTGGGAATTAAAGACAGATGGTTTCACTGATACTGTAGAATACCTGTATGCATCAAAAGGCTCATCAATTGTCCTGTATTTCCCTGGCTCAGAATCCTCAAACACTTGTACGTCTGACAAGAATTTCACATACTGAACTATACCAGACCTGTCAGGGCCTAGTACAATTTGAAATACCCACAAGACTGTTTTAGGGTTAAAAATGTATCTTTTTAATAAATGATTATATGCATAAGATTTAATAAGCAATATCTTATTTCCAAAGAAATGGAAAGAATGGCCTACTCTATGCTTTCTTGACGCCTCAGCATCCACACCTGTTCCATCTCCACACTGGAAGTGACCAGTCATCGTGATTAAGAACACACCCAGTCACTAACCTCATGCCCTACTTCAGACATAGACGTCCTAGGAAGGATGGAGGAGCCGGCCCACACACTCAGCCAGGCCCCTCGCTACATCCCCTGAGCATCCTCCCAGCACAAGGTGCTGTTGGAGAGAAACAGTGACAGGTTGGAGCTCTACAGGGGCAGCCAGAGATACCTGCCTGCTGGTAAAACAGAACAATGTGGCCACTACTGCACAGTGGTCAGAAGGTAGTGCAAGAAAACTGAACTACACAGTGAGGGAAGGGCTGGAGTGCACGAATTAAAGGAACATTTTTGGACAACCACACGTGACAGTGGCCAGGGATAGGATCGCCGTGGACACTCATAGGTGACAGCAGCAGGGGCAGGATGGGCATGGACACCCACAGGTGACAGCAATTGGGGCCGGGATGGGCATGGACACGCACAGAAGACCGCAGTCGGGGCTAGGATGGGCGTGGACACCCACAGGTGTCAGCGGCTGGGGCCGGGACAGGCATGGACATCCACCAGTTATAGTGGCCAGGGGTGGGATGGGTGTGGACACCCACAGGTAACAGCAGGACGGGACGAGTAAGGACACTCACAGATGACAAGGGTGGGACGGGCACAGACACCCACAGGCACAGCAGCAGGGCCAGGATGGGCATGGACACCCACAGGTGACAGTAGTAGGTGTGGTTTGGGCATGGACACCCACAGGTGACAGCAGCAGGGGCAGGAGGGGCATGGACACCCACAGGTGACAGCAACTGGGGCCGGGATGGGCGTGGACACCCACAGGTGACAGTGGCTGGGGTGCGACGAGCGTGGACACCCACAGGTGGCAGTGGCAGGGGAGAGGACGGGGCAGGGGAGAGGACGGACACGGACACCCGCAGGTGGCAGCAGGCTGGGACAGGTGCGGACGCCCACAGGTGACGGGGGCGGGACGGGTGTGGGTCCGCCCCTCACAGTGGCAGTGCTTGGCCAATCTTGGGAAGCCGGACGCTCCCCTGTAGCACCGCGGGATCGTGGGGACAAGGCGGCACGCGGAGGTCTCTTCCTCAGATGACACCGGACGACCGTCTCGTTAGGACCCTGGACCCTGGCCCGACCTACCCGCAGCCTTGCACTCCCGCCTCGGTGGGAGCCGGGTCCCAAGGCCCACGTGTTTGGAAGGTGAGAGACCAGGTCAGATGCGGGGTCAGCCTGACTCGCCGAGCCCAGAGCCCAGGCTCCCGACCTGCGGCAGAAGGGGAGGCACAGGCTGGAGGACGCCCGACGCCTCTACGGGTCCAACCCAGGTATCTCTGGCGGGAGAGAAGCGGCCACGTTGACGTGCGTTGACGACAACAGCAGCAAAGTAACCCGCCAGCCTCAGGACACGCTCCGCTCGCTCCCGACTCGGGTGGAAACAGCGCTCGGACCCCGCCACTCCAAAGCGCGGTCGTGTGTAATCGGCTTTCACCCCGTAGGGGAGGACACGGGAAGCCGACCCCCCTCGAGCAGCTCTCCTGGTCATGTCAGCACAGCTCGGGCGCGGTGGGTCCCGCGGAACCTGGGCGCTCGCCTAGATCCCCGGCCCGACCCCCAGCATCAGTCGCACTCGGACTCGGGAACCAGCCGGAAAGTGAAGGTCCGCGAGGAGGTGCTGAGGACCCGGGGAGGGGAGCGGGCGGCGACTCGCGCCCCCCTCCCAGCCCCACGGCCGCGGCTTCCGCCCTCCCCCCCCGTGGCGGCCGC